ATTAAAAATAAAAACTAAAAAATAAAAAGTATCAATCACCCCATGCCATGCAAAGTCTTGTCACATTTATAAAATATTGTAAATTAAAAGAGTGAAAATTCAGTAAATAATTTTTCCATCTGGAATCAACTTAACTATTGAAGTGGATAAAACTCAATTTCTTTTAAATAAAATCTTGAATTTGAGTTTTGTAAATGAAAAACAAAGCATTAAAAGAATTTTTTCTTAACAAGATCCAACGCATCTGAGTTAATTTAATTAATTAAAAGTTAATCTGGTTATTGGATAAAAAAGAAAAAAACTGATGTAGTTTTCCGTACGCTGTCGTTGTACTCGATGATTAAAGAACTAGAACTACAGTATATTGCCGTCAACAGCATAAAGGGCATTTCCGTCATTTCATTACCTCACGCGGTGAGGTCGCGACCGACGAGAGTAGGTTGCGTGGCAGAAGAATAATCATTTCTCAACTCTTATAGTGGTTGCAATTTTCTTCACCCAATTTACAAATAAAAAGGATAATAATAAAAATATTAAAAAATTTTGTTAAGAGTATAAGTAAAATTATTTAAATATTGTTAATAAATATTTTTTAAGTATTAATTTATTAAAATTATTTAAAATTTTCTATTATTAATTTTGATATCTTAATTATCAAAATATTTTAATTTCTCTTAATTTCATATCAAAAATTAATGTTTACTTCAATTTTTTCAACAAAAATTTATAAGATGACAATGGTTTTCTTTTAATCTTGTAAGGAATAATTAAATGTTTTTACAATTTAAATTACTTGTAATTAGAACTAAAAAAATATTTTTATTATTAAATTCGCACAAACAAAACTTATTGAAATACTAGTAATTTAGTTTTGACACGTTTTTCCAAGGACAGTATAATATCTTTTTGGAGGTTCCTCGTGCACAGATAATACTGTTAGCAATAGGATTTTTTTAATTATTATAATTCTTTAATATTAATTAGTATTAAAAAATATAAAAGTTATCATAAGTTTTAATATTAGTGTTAAACAAATTATGTTAATTAAATAATTAATTAAATAAAAATTAATTTTTATTTTTAAATGTAACAATTACATTGGAAAACTAAGGTTAAACTTCTAATTTGATTCCTAAATTATTGTTGGGATTCTGATTTAGTCTTTAAACTAAAAAAAATTATAATTTGATCCTTGAATTATTGTACAGATCTCTTATTTAGTTTAAATTGTTTATCAATTTATCTTAAGTTGGTTTTTTTGTATAAAAAAAAAAAACTAATGTATCTATTAGTTAACAACAAAAAATAATAACTTAACAATGAAAAAGAATAATTTAATAGCTATGTATCAAGTTAATAACAATATACGTCAATTAGTTTTTTATAAAATGATTAACTTGAAGTAAATTGATAAATAATAAAAACTAAATCAGATTTATACAATAATTTAAAGATTAAATCAAATTTTTTTTTAATTTAATGATTAAATTTAAAGTTTATACAATAGTTCGGAACCGAATTGGTATGTAACCTCAAACCAACGATAAAAATAACGAGGCAAGAGAGAGAGAAAAAAAAAACACCGTTTCTATATAATGAAAACAAAGCTACAGCGCCAATGAGTTTCAGACAATTTCCAAAGGTTCTTCTTCTGTGTTTTCATTTCGAGGGTCTTCTTCCTTTCCTCTCAGGTACACACTTCTCTTGCTTTAGATTCCATTTCTTCATATCTCTGTATGTGCATGTAATTCTTTTTTTTTTTTTCTTGTTTAACATTTGGATGATTTTTTCAGCTATGTTTTTCTTCTTTTTTTTTTTTTTTGGGAAAATTTGATTCTTAATTTGATTTATTTCTTGATTTCTTGAAGGAAGTAATCCCGATTTAAATGGTTAATCAATCTTCTCGGTATGGGTTTTTTCTCCCTTTTAAGGGAATTGAATTTAAAGTTTTGAACTAGAAGGAAAGGAAAGTTGAGTAACGGTAATTTTTTTCTGGGGATAGTGTGAAATTGAATGCATTTTTGTTAATGGAAATGGTAAAGTCTTGATTTTTATGTTTTGGGTTTTGTTCTTTTCTTGGTTTTTACGCTGGCACAGATCGGTGATGATAAATGATAGGTTTCCTTAGAGGGTTGTATTGATTTGCATGCCCAATTTGAGTTGAACCGAGGGGAAATAGAAAGTAATGATAGAATCATGGAGTTTATTTTGATTTGATTTCAATTGATTTTTGAAATCTTTGATTTTTTTTTTTTTTTAATCAAATTCGGGTTTATAGTTGTTTCTTGTTCTTTTTCTTGTTGGGTGTTTTTTGTAACAGATGGTAAAGGGAGGGAAGGATAGTGGCAGAAGCAATTTCAGGAAAAGGATTAGGTCAAAAGACAAGGGTTCTGATGATTCAGATGAAGATTATGTGGTTTCTGATGAGGAAAATGAAGTGACTGATGATTATTCTGAGGAATACTGTTCTTCTTTAGATGAATGTGCATCAGAAGACAGTTTAGGTGGTTTTGTTGAAGAAGAGGATGAGGAGGAAGAGAAAGAGGTGAGGAAGGTTGTTAGGCCAACGGTAAGATGGGGTTCTTTTGCTAAGGAGAAAGTTGGAGATAAAACATCAAAAAAGAGAAAAAGGGTGTCATATAGAGTAGAGGAAGATGACGATTATGAGGGGGCAGGGGAGGAGGAAGATGATGATGATGATGAGGAATTTGTAATAGATGAAGATGATTGTTTCGATGAGGAAGAAGAACTGACTTTGACAAGGAAGAAAAATATGAAGATGAATAAGAAGGGATTGCAGAAAAGATGTCCTCAAGGAGGGAGAAACAGGAAGAAGTATGCTGTTTCAAAGGAGCCTAATAGAAAGAGAGGTAGGAAGAAAAGTAGGTTGAAAAGGAAAAATAGGGTTAATGTTGATGATTGTGATTATGATGATTATAGTGACAGTGATTTTAGAGACAGTATCCCAGCTGTTAGAAAGAAGAGTAACACAAGTTTGGCAGGAAGAAAGAGGAAATATCATGTATCAACAGATTCAGATCATGTGTCTTCTGGATCATCTGATCATGAGTATACATATACCATCTCGGAGAAAGAGAAAGAGCAAGTGATGGAAGCTGGGGAGTTGTGTGGAAGTTTAAAAGCTGCTTTGAGGAGTTCATCATCCTTAGGAAGGATTCAGGATGCTGAGGATTTAGGCCAGCAGAAGAAACCTCCAGTACAAAAGGGTAAGGAGAAGGTAGAGGAACTGAAGATTGAGGTAGTAAAGCAGGTTTGTGGTATTTGTCTGTCAGAGGAAGATAGAAGGAGATTGAGAGGAACACTGGATTGTTGCAGTCATTACTTTTGTTTCACCTGCATTATGGAATGGTCAAAGGTGGAATCTCGTTGCCCTTTGTGCAAGCAGAGGTTTAAGACTATTAGTAAACCTGCAAGATCAACATCAGGAGTTGATTTGAGAGAAGTGGCCATACAAGTTCCAGAGCGTGATCAGGTATCTTATGGTTCTCTTACAATGCAATTATATAAAATAGTCTTATTGCTTCTCATTGTCACTAATTTCCAGTCCACTGGGTATTTGTCTTACACGCAGGTCTATCATCCATCTGAGGAAGAACTCAGGAGTTATCTTGATCCTTATGAGAACGTAATTTGTTCAGAGTGTCACCAGGGTGGAGATGATGGCCTCATGTTACTTTGTGATCTCTGTGATTCATCTGCACACACCTACTGCGTTGGTCTTGGGCAGGAAGTACCTGATGGTAATTGGTACTGTGACGGTTGCAGACCTGGTGCTTTGGTGTCCTCTAGTTCCCAAGCTCAAGATTTTTTGTCTGATCAAAGGACAATGAGCACCAACTTGTACAATAGACCATCACCCATTGTTAATTTGGGTGATAGTGTGGAACCCACCGTAATGTCTTCACCTTGTACACCATTTACTCAAGGATTTGGGAATCTTTCCTCTCCTAGATTACCAGTTCTAGATGTTTCAGCAGCTTCTCCTTTGTCTGGAGCAGGGGCACCAACCTTAACAGGAAGACGCTGGATACACCGTCACATACAAAACCTTCTTTCTGGCAATAGAATGAATCTTGGGGCTATGAGAGAGGATGGGATGTCAACTGCCAATTTGGCAAATGATTTCTTAAACCCTCAAATTGATCAGGGTCAGGAAACAACAGCCCAACAGTCAAGTGTGCAAGCAAGTGGGACATTGTATACAATTTTTGGGGAGAGTTCCCAGAATAATCTCCCTTCTTCATTGCAAAGTAGGGATATCTTCTCTCAGAGGTTGGGGCATCTTAGAAGGCAAGTGATTCATGGTACAAGTACAGCAACTACGGATTCAAGGTTTAATTTGACATTATGGCCTGAACATGCTGGGATCAGCTCAATATCAGGTAATAACCACCTCAACCAGTTGACCTCTGGATTAAACATTGGGCTCAATGGTTCCCCTCATATGGTTAAAGAGGAGGGTGATTTTTCTATGATGAAGGAACAGCTGCAAATAATGGTTGGAAGTCATCTAAAAAATTTGTCCAGAGATATTGATTTAGGTATGTAAAGAGTGTCTTTAATAATCTTATGTAGTCCATGATGTTGGGCAGTTAATTTGTTAACTTTTATGTATGTCAAACTATACAAGTAACCTACAACTATTTGGTTTTCTGTTGAACTGATTTCTTTCTTCTGTGATTTGCAAATGTTCAATCTACTGGTTTCCTTAATTCAGGCAGCAATTTCAAGGACATAGCAAGGCATTCAACACAAACCATTTTGGCTGCATGTGGGCTTGAGCACATGAGGAATGAGGTTCATTCCGTGCCTCCACCATCGGTTTGTCCCCATGTGGAAAGACTGGAAGCTGGACAAAGGAGTCTGATGAAAGGTTGTTGCTCTACTTGTTTTGATTCTTTTGTAAAAGATGTAGTGAAGAGAGTCATGGACACAAGCCTCCCACGGTGGTTGAGCTTAGGCCTTTAGGTCTTTCAGTTAGTGAATGTATCCTCCACATTTTTTTTTTCTTGGAAATAGAAAAAAAATTTTAGGAGAGAATCTTTATAGTTGACTAATTTATATGATTGATTCATAGACATTGAACATGGGAGTGACTGCATTTTTTGATTTGAAGTAATTTTTTCTCCCTGTGAGAATATAGGTAATGATTCAGGTACGATGCCCTTTTTTTTTTATGTATAACCTCCTGTATAAAGTGGCATTCAAATGAGTGAATGCATGTCAATTAACGCATGTTACTGAATAAAAATAATCAATTATCCAACCCTTTGTTTAATGTCACATTATATCGCACAAAATGTTGCTAAAGGGAAACAGTTGACAGTACTATACATATAGTATTTCTATATAGATAATTTTTATTATAGAACATATTATATTTTTAAATGAGTAATTATATATGTATCAGAGTTTCGTGATCCAATAGTTATATATATCTTATCGTAAAGTATACTTCCGTCCTAGGGTTTGGGATTTGAATACCCCTCCTCAAATTGTAATACATTCAAAAAATAAAAAATGAGTAGTTGTACGTAACAGTTAGGTTCAATGAGGTATACATCATTTTCAGAAAACATCATAACCAACATAGACAACATTTGTTGAAAACTATCGTTACAAATGAAACACAAGCCTTGGACTCTAAATGGCGGTTGATCTCAGTCAAATAAAAATCTTTTGGTTTCACCAGAAAACAAAAATAATGTCATTCTCAGCGCAGATAATCAATTCAGTTCAAATGCTAGCTCTATATATACATTAACTATGATACAGAAATGCAGAAGCATGGATAAATTATATATATCTTTTATGATATTAAAAGATGAAATTGAAATCTAAGTGGGGAAGAGTTCTGTAAGCAACATAAATTACACTCATTCCTACACCTTATTTGAACATTTTGCTTGATACATTTTACTAGAAGCAAATCATAGATTGCAAGACTATTGGTTGCATACTCAATCTCTTTAGGATTGAGGTCCACAATTTGCAATAACTGGCATTGATACTCTTCATACGATGTCAACCAGAAATGTGGACAACATTAGTCCTTGAACAAACTCGCATCTCTTTGCCTTCTCTTCCTGATCCTTGACTGAAAGAGGAGATGACTGGACCTTTCTGTCACCGAAATCAAAACAGGAGACCTGAGAGAGCTGAGAAGGATCTAAAAACGTATACACTATTGCCCAAATACATTGTAGCAAGTATACAGGAACACAACTGGAATAGTAAACAGAAGTAGATACTGAAATCATGTAAAAATTCCAAAAAGTTCGATGCTCAATACACTGGCTTGCCAAATTAACTACTGAAAATTAATTTTTATCACTTTTCTGGTTTAATATTTTCTACTGAAATGGCCCTTTTAAAACAAAATTTTAAACCTTCTATGGTCACAAAATGAAGGACTAAAAGCCACCATAAATGAAAGACAGGAATAATTAAACTAAGAAATGCAATAACATACCGTTCTGATTTCTTTGCATCTGAGCTTTTCTTGGTTGAGCTTGTTTCAGTAGATAATTTATTATGGATACTAACAAAATCATCAGCCATTGGCAAAATAAATGAAGAAAGCAGTGGATCAGGTGCTGAATTGGCTGAGGACCCTATACATGAAGAAGGCCCAAATAGTGACTGTAGATTTCCTTCTCTCAGCTCTTTCCTCAACAGAGAAAGAGTTGAATGAGATCCAGCTTTACGACATTTTCTCTTGCGCTGCATGTAAGCACTTGTTAAGGAAATAATTTCTTGAAGTCAAATCACCAATGTTTTATGGTGAAACAAGAAAGCATATCACAAAAAATGCTAGCAACAACCAAAGGGAGAAAAAAAAGAAAGAGAGAGTAGACTAGCATGCTGCATACGAGCTTGATTTATATTCAAATGATGTAAAACTTTTAACCAAAAGGAAAATGAAATTTTAAAAAAGTAGTGAGAAAAAAAATTGTACTAGTAGTCAAGGAAACTTAACTACTTAACTGACTTTAACAGAGAGGAAAAACATGGCTATTAAAAGGAAGAAGTAGAAGAAGGAAAAACACTACATGAATCAAGTTGTCCATAAGTTTCAACAAAGAACTCCAAGAGAAGGAAAAATAAATGTGCCACACTTAAGGAGCTAACAAAAGAAGAGATGGAGATGATAAACCTGTCCTCTAGTCTAGCTTCATTGAGAATTGACTAAAGTGAATCCAAACTTAGATTTTTCCATGCTAGTAAAAAAATAAACTCAGTTTTACATATTTAACAGACTTCCCCAAATATTAGTTTTCAAGATAAATGACAAAAGGAATTCAATGTTATGTTATCAGCCAAGAAAGTCGAATAGTTCAAAGAGAAATTGAGAAGACAAGTTATAATAAACAAAGAATTATAATTATGGAATAGGATATCTTGAATAAATTTCCATGTTGCATGGTTATATGCGCAACCATGTCAACTCCCACCCTCAATGCACAAACTGGACAAATCTGCAAGTAAACAACATCAATCATGAACAAAGTTTAGTTTCAATAAACATATTTCCCTCCTAGGGAACAAGGTTCTTGGAAGGCCATATCCTAAAATCGAACTCACAGGCAAAAAACTGAAAAATACTAGACCAACCACTTATTTTTAAGTCTGTTTTATTAGCCAAAAAAAAAAACCTCTTATTTTTAAGTCAAACCTGTAAAAGAACTAGCATTGCACCCCAACCAATCCCGAGTAAGGTAAATCCATTCCCTTGCTAGAGAACTACTTTAGCATCATGATAGACAAATTCCTTTAACCTGTTCATTTAAACCAACTAGGAAGAATTTGAGGCTTTATTTTGTTCATGCTCATTCCAAATTCTTAATTATCCAATCACTTCAATACACATACATATCATTAATTAAACAAGTTAAGATTCGAACTTATAAGCAACTTGCATTACAATCTACTGATAATCATTGGAAAAAAATATATATCCAATGAAAAATCTAAACATCTGCTTGTTTATATTTATAAACAGAAATAATCAAGGATAAATACCCCATTCTTTGCCTCCACTGGATGCTTGTCATCAATGTGGCAACACAAGCCAACAATATCGAAGTGCTGCAAACAGAATGGGCAAGGAAATTCTTCCCTCATATCATCATCTCCCTCTATTTCTTCAAATCCCATAAACATATCTGCAATTTCAAATCATTTCACTTAGTGAGAGAGCAAAACAGCAACCAAGGCCATGCACCACAAAGATCATTTGATTGCTGACTGTGGTAAACAAAATGGAAACCTATGGGTTACTGGGGTTATCAAATGTTGGGTCTAACATGCAAGTACAACTTATCAATTCAGTCATAATTCCACGTCTTCTTGGCTATGAAGAGAACATAAAATGTACAGTTTCAAAAACTCATTCCAGATGCTTTGTTGATATGAGTTAGTTAGATCCCTCAAATGTTGATATGTGGAACCTAAAACTTCAAGAGTTTATTGTCCCCTTTCTGCTGTTGGAACTAACAAACTAATTAGCCAAATATCTGTTTTAAGCTCTTATAAAGTAAGCATTTCTTCCATTCCAGGTTTGCATGATAAAAATTGAAAAGCTAATCTTCCACCTTCCTATCTCAAATACCAAAAAAGGAATGTATTCAGAAAAAAAAGTTTCCCCTCCTCTCCCTTACCGTTGCAGCCAAAAACCACTCATTAGTACAATATAATTTCTGGTCTACAATCAACACAATCTAAGATTCTACTCCCAATTTATTTTCTTTTCCTAATGTTCATTTTCTTGGAAACCAAACATAGAAAAAGCTCAGAATAAGCTTAGCACATACAACCTTCCACTCTTATTGTTGCAATAAGCTCAGAAACCTCCTCAACAATTGAACAATAAAAATTCAGGAATCAAGATTTCATCTTTTTTCCTTTACTTTCCATCCCATCAGGATACAAGTGAATCACTTCCGTGCATATTAAAAAAAATCACCCGCCTAATTTGTGTGAAGTTCAATTAAGTTCGGCTATTCCTTTACCCAAAGGAAATAAATTAGCATACTTCAACAAGCTCCAGTTTAAACCATCAAAAAAAAAAAAGAAGGAGAAAAATCTAGCTTCTCATCCACCAAGTTCTTACTTTTTCCATCATTTTCTTAGCAACCAAACAGCAAACAAAAAAAAAAAAATCAAAAAAATACAAGGGAAGAACGTTTCTGAGTTTACCAGATCGCGATTGAAGAGCCGACTGATATCTCCTTGAAGCGGAAGAGAGACGAGCACTCCACGAATCAGCATCCATTTCTATAACCTCTCTTTCCCAGGCGAATTACGATCTAGGCTCAAAAAATTCAGCGAAACAAACAGTATCTGAAGCTCGAAATCGATTTCCTCAGCTCTGATCTTGGATTTGAGATGTAATTCAGTCAATAGTTAATCCAAGAAGTGATGTGAGAGAAAGAGAGATTAGGTTTTGGAGGACTGATGAAAGTGAGAGCGGTGAGGAGAACGGGGAGGAGCTGTTTTTCTTACTCGGTTAAGTTCTGTCGTAAAAGGTTGTTTATTTTTTGTTTCTCCTGCATTTATATTACTCCCTCATCTGACTTTAGTAAAATGTCTTAATTACAAGCCGAGGTAGCATTATAAGATTATAATATAATTTATTATTCTGTATTTTTAAAAAATTTATATGTTTTTTTTTTAATAAATTGTGAAGGAGCGGGCTCGAACCTACTAATGGAAAGAGATAAATGCATCTCAAGCTGATTGGATGTCAGTTAACCCAAAAGATCAAGTGTAAAAAATTTATATATTTTTTAATATAAAATTTATTTTAAAATAATAATTAATTTTTTTAAACATTAAGAAAAATAAATATTTTTATTAAAATTTATAACTGTTTTGTTAATTTTAATTATTTATTTTCATTTATTATAAAAAGG